TGAGGTAGGAGAACTGCCTGAACCTGGGAGGTGGAGGTTGCGGTGAGCCGAGATCGCGCCATTGCACTCTAGCCTGGGTAACAAGAGTGAAACTCTGTCTCAAAAAAAAAAAAAAATAGTAGATCAGTGATTTCCAAACTCTTCGCAGAGTACCAGGCTCTGTGGAGATGCCTCATAGGCCTCCATGACAGGCCAAGAAGATGGGCTATGATCTCTGAAAGCAGCCTCTACTTCAATCAGATCAAAGTCATTCCATTCTATGTTTTATATGTTGGGATTCTGCTTAAGATTTTATTTGATAAAAAGAATCTTCTGTTTAAAAAACATGTTTACTGACTCCATATTAGATATTCCCAGAAGAGCCTGGTCTGCTTTCACTCCCCACCCCCATACCACCGGTGTCTCCCTTCACCCCCCAGGGGCTGTTGGTAATTCCACTGAGTCTAAGGCAGGGCCCCAAGAGTCAAAGCTGCCTCACATTCAGGTCTGTTCAGCTTTGACAGTGTTCCCATCATCACTGGACAAAAGACAAGAACAAGTCTCATCCACTCTGAGGTTAGCCCAAGCCAGGTCTCAGCTAAGAGCTGATATTCTAAACCCTTACCTCCTGGATTCATCTTCAGTGCCCCTGGAAGATGCTTCCTTCCCCCCATCTCACTCTCATAGACCTGAGTATTCAAAAGTAGAATGGGTAGGATAGAGGGGCCAGAAACAGCACTTGGATGAATATACTTCCTTTATCGAGGGTGACAAACCAAAACAAAAAAAGACCAAACATGTAAAAACCCAGGGTTCTAGAAATACAAACTCAATTCATTCCAATTCAAGCTCATCCAGACCCTGGTCACAAACCCTAGTGAGGTGCATGTGAGCACCAAGTCAGGGAGAGGGGGCAGGAGTGACTCTGAGGCCAAGAGAGAGGGTGGGAAGGGGATCTCCCTAGGTCCCCTGGTGATCACCCCCCACCCAAATTGGTATCTTCACATTCTCAATGACTATGAAGACATACCAGTCCCTGTCCTTTTGGCCCCTACCCCATCCCTGGCCAGGGCTTCAAAGGCCAGTCCAAAAGGTTCTACCCTCACTTGCTCAGGCTTCTAGCCTTGCTCTTCTCCTTCTTCACATTTTTCTCTGTGATTAGTAGCAGGTTAGGGTACTATATAAGCCACAGTGAGGCTGGGGGCCAGGGGGTTGGGGCAGAGATGGGATGAAGAGAGGAGAAGAGCTGTCCAAGGACCCCTCTCTTCATGGGATCCCAAACTGTACAACCAGCTCCTCTTTTGCGTCCACACGGATCTGAGAAAGTGCACTGTAGGCATAAGCAGCTATCCTGGAGACCTAAGACAGAGAGGGGCCAGGGAGGAGAGGAACAGAGACAGGTGAGGAGGGCAATCAGGAAAGAAGGGGAGGGGGGATTAGATAATGATGAAGGAGAAGGAGGGAATGATGGGGAACAGGAAGGCAAAGGGAAAGAGGAAAGGTTAGGGGGAGGAGATAGGAAAGACATTAAAAGTTAAAGAGAATGAGGTGGGAGGGAGCTGAGGCCCACAAGGCTACCGGGCTCCCTAACTCCACTTTCCCTACCTCCTGTGAGGCAGGGTGGGTGAACCCTCTGCCATACCCTGGGCAGTGTGGGAAGGGTGGGCAGGGACAGGCGAGGGGTGTCTCACCTGCTGCAAATCGGAGAATGGGATAGGCTCGCTGGCCAGCACTTGGTGGGGCTGGCTGGTAAGAGATGGCAGAGGTGGCAGCTTCTTCCAATGGGTCAGGCTGCTGCTCAGCACAGCCAAGCGGGTGCTGACCAAGAGAGAGGGGATGAGGGTACACAGTTAAGCCACAGTCTGCCCTGCCCAGCCCAGGTAAGCCTCATTCCCTCAAGCCAGAGAAGCAGGGTGCCGAGGGGGCGGGTATCAAGAAGGGGAGGTCTCAGCTCATCACAGACTCACTCTAGGCCCACCTCCCTTGGTCTCAGTACCCTCAAGAATGTCACAGGGTAAACAGGGCTGACATGAATATCTACTGAAGTACCCAAGTGATCAAGTGATCTGTGGTCAGTCTTCAGGGCTGCACCCAAATAAGAAGCTTGGACTAGGGGCCAGGCTCTAACGCCGGAACAGTGATGGAGGGTAGGAGCCCAAGTAGCCTGAGGGACCAACACTGGCCAGTTGCTCACCTGTACTGCCTGGCACGGTCCATGTACTCATGCTGCTCCATGCCCTGTGAGTCTGCAGCAGACACATCAATGATGTTGCTGTGGGGAAAGGAGACAGAGATGACATGACAGGTGCTTCTGAGAAGGACAAACAGGACTCAGTGCTAGGTACCAACTCCAGGGCTATCTGACACGTTTCCTTCCTGCCTCCTGGAGCAGGGCTGGACATGGAGGCACCTCTCCCCAGTGACCTTGTCCTATCCCCCCTGTCCTGAGCCTGGCTCCCTCTATCCTAGCCTTTAATATGCATAGAGAAGCTCTGACTGAGGCCTGGTCCTCTGACACTCACCTGGCTGTCTTGGCAAGGATGGAAGAGAGCAGGGCCTGCTCATCTGTGCGAGCGGAAGGCAGGCTGTGGTAGTTGGGCTCAGCTCCATTGAGGGCTTTGGTAGGGGGACTGCTAGGGTCCAGCAGCAGCTTCCGCTCCTCTCGGTCCTAGAAGAGGCCATGGGAGAGAAGTCAGTCCCAGAACCCTTAGATCCTGCCTTTCATGGGTACTGCCCTCCGCCCAGCTCTGACCTTAAAACACCAAAAATATTTCTATAGGGAATATCCAGAGTGCCCAGCTTTATGGAATGCCAGGTAACACTCAGTTCCTGCCTATCGTTGGGAGCTCAGTTGAGTTGTTGTTAAACAAGAGTAGA